TCATTTTTCGACCCATTTTGAATTTTCGGCAAAAGAACAGCTAAACTCCAAACTCTTAAACAGTTGTGGGGTTAGCTGGACCTTCATTAGTCAGTAAAAAAACTTTTGTTTTGATTGCCGGCCAGGCTCTGAAACGTTGTTTATGAATAAACAGTTTGAAATTGTTGAGAAAAAAATCAGCACGTGTTTGTCAATGTTTTTCTTCATCTTTTCTAAATACTGATTTTCTTATCATTTTCTGTATCACCATGAATTTATCCAACGATACCGAACTTGAAGTTAGGTTTGTGACCAAAGATGAGCAGTATGCGGTGCCGTCAGTGCCCGTCAACGTCAGCGCTGCATCCACCGCCGAGGAACTGGACAATATCGTCAAGGCGTTCATTGCCGGTCACAGTGAAGGCGATGATTTAGCCAGCACCACTTTGGCAGATGTGGAGTTTGATTTCTTGATCGGCAGCAAACTGCTTCGAAGCTCACTCAAAGAATGGTTCGAAGCGGAAAAACTCAGCGCAGAGGCTACACTGGAGGTGGAGTACTTTGCCAAAACCAAACCGCCTGAGCCGCACAACTCCTTTCTGCACGATGACTGGGTCGCCGCAGTGGACACCGTTGACAATTGGATTCTTTCCGGGTGCTATGACGGGACAGTGCACATCTGGAACGTGGCAACTGGCGAGCACAAAATTACCATTCCCGCGCATACTGCTCCAGTGAAGGCCGTCAAGTGGACCAACTCAGGCAAGAGCAAAAATGGCCGTGGTCAGTACGGCCTCGTCACATGTTCTCACGACGAGACTGCGATGGTGTGGACGTGGGATGCAAAGTCGAACCAGATCGAGCACATTTTCACCTTTATTGGCCATTCAAGATCGGTAGACTGCGCCTCAGTAAAGGGTGATCTGGTTGCCACGGGCTCATATGATCACATGCTGAAAATTTGGTCGCTGGTTGACAGTGACTCCACACAAGGAGAACATTCAAATGCGAAAAACAGCAAGCTGAGGTCTCCTGTTATCACACTGGAAGGACACAAAGAGGCGATCACTGGCTGTTCGTGGATGCCGTCGGAAGACGCGTCAGCCATTTCCAATGTGACCACTGTTTCACTGGACAACACCATCAAACTCTGGGACATCGAAGTGGGANGCGATCACTGGCTGTTCGTGGATGCCGTCGGAAGACGCGTCAGCCATTTCCAATGTGGCCACTGTTTCACTGGACAACACCATCAAACTCTGGGACATCGAAGTGGGCGAAGTGAAGCAAACGCTGACTAGCAACAAGTCATTTTTATCCGTCTCCTACTCACCGACCAACAGTCTTCTCCTGACTGGATCATGTGACAGACATATTCGCCTGTGGGATTCACGTCAGAGCACCGGCGGCACGCAGATGAAATCAGTGTACAGCTCACACACCGGCTGGGTCTCTTCCGTCGCCTGGTCGACCGCTGATTCGAACCTCTTCTCATCGGGCAGTTATGATTCCAGCGTCAAGCAGTGGGACATTAGATCGCCCTCTGCTCCCCTTTACGACATGCTCGGTCATCAGGACAAGGTGCTCGCCGTTAACTGGTCCAATGCAAAGTACATGGTCAGCGGAGGGGCGGACAACCAGATAAAAGTGTTCTCCACCAAACAGTGAACTTTTTTTAGAAAAAAGATACCACTTCTTAATAAAATGAAATGTTTGTGGCTTACAAATAATAGCAATGTTGCGCGAGTTGACCGAGTAATGGCCATTGGGCGCTTATTGAGAGAAAGTGTGAAATTATCATATACTCCTAATCCATTCGAGTCTTCAGCGTCTTGACGGTGACTTTGTCCTTTTCGATAATGTAGACAATAGCGCCCCAACCAGAGCCAGCGTCGCGGTCACAAGCATTAACCAGAGCCTGAGAGATTGTCTCAAAGAGATCATCCGGTTCTAGATCAGGCGACCACAGCGTTTCGCACATGCCAAAGGCTTGCTCTTCACAAGTTCCAGCCAACACAAAGTCTTTCGGTGCGTTTTTGCACCCGATAATGTCGGTAGCGCAAATGAAGGGCTCATTGTTCTCATCCAGGCCAGCAATAACCGGTTCAATGAAGTAGGGGCCGAACCGGCGCTCATAGAGCATGTTGCTAACAAGCGAGCCGAAAGTCTTTGGGCTGATTCGGCGATTCTCGCGAAGTTCATACATGTTGACGCGGAACTTGAGTCGCTGTGAAACGGTGATGGTGTCGGAGGCGAAACCGGGCAAGCCGACGAACAGTCGAGGTCCTACATCAAAGATCTTCTGGAAGTCCATGGCAATGGTGGAAAATTGCGCTCCCAGACGTCGGTCGGCGGCAATGGCAACACAGTTTTTGCCCTTCATTGCGATGACAACACCGCCGTTGTATGACATGATACTCTAAAAAGGAGTGCACATTAGTATTAGTTAAACACCGGGACGTAACACTATTAAAGTGGAGTTTACCATCTTGGAAGGTTGGTTGTTGGAATCGGGTTTTCAAAGAAGAGTGATGACGAGAGTGTCGGCTTGACTGAAAGAAGAAGAGTGAAGTTGTTTTGGCAAGTCACTGAGGCAGGCTCTGCGGCTTCTGACACTGCAGCTATTTTAACCACTACGGCAGCGTGGCAATTTTGCTCAACAGCAATTTTAAAAAAGTTCAAGTTATTTAAAAATTGAAAATTTATTTACAGTAAGGAATCGGAAAACAATATGTAAAGCAAGGTAATTTTATGTACATTTGGACTTTAGCAGCATTTAAAGCAGTCATCAATTTTTGGCATTAAATTTGCTCAAATCCGCGACTGGTAGACTGAGGAGATGCCTGGCTGCCGTAGGTGCGTCGAGTTTCCATCGGAATCAAAGGTGCATTGCTCTCTTCAATTGGATCGTAGTCGTTGCGTGTCTGTGTCCAAATGCTTCGCACACGAGTTTCTAAAAAAGAAAATAATAATTCATTACAAAGAAGGGAAAGAAGGACATATCAAAAACTTACTGATGTGCCTTAAGTGATCGTACACGTCGTGTCGCTCATCACTCAGATCAATTATTCGTTGAAGAGAGTAAAACATTGGATTTGTCACACGCGAGTCATCAATGAAGGGCTTGTGAGAGAATACAAATGTATGCGCCACTGCGGCGACTAACATCTCAAAGCAAATCATAAAGTCCTGTTTTAAGTGTAAAGTTTAGATTAGCTCGAATGTAAAACTACAAACTAACAAACCTGAAGATTTCGGGCCATGTCGTAATTGCTTATCTCCCGTGTACTCGGAATAAAAGACGTCGTAATAATACCGATTTGAATCAAAATGGTTAAGAGCACGCCTTGACTACAAATTAGAAACAGAGGGTAAAATCTAGAATTACGATAAGAAAAATATCATCTTACAAAAAGGAGAAGAAAACGACTGCTTTAATGCAGAGAAACTTTCCAAGTGGCTTCATCGGCGCCAACTCCCGCTTGTACTCGTGGTAAAAGAGCACCAAACAGTACATGGCCACCTGAAAGGTAAGTGAAAGTCAGTGTTGAAGTTCAGTTTTAGAAAGCAATGTAGTCACCATTTGCGTGAGATTGTTGATCACAAGTAGGTAGATGTAGGCGTAGCTGAAGCTAAACTTGCCCTCCCCGTAGACGCCGATAGTCTCAAAGAACCTGCAAAAACACGATTACAACTTTGACCGCCAACAATCAGACGCTTACAATGCCAGAAAGGTGGTTATCGGCCGGATGACAATGTACTGCAACATGCCGTGGCGGCAAGTTTGAATGAAGCGACGTCCACCTCGAAGTGGAGGTAAAAAGCAAAGCGGGAAAACGTGGTTCACAGGTGGCTTGCAGTCAATCACGATTTCGTACATGTTCACTTCGCGATGAAGAAAGTTGAACAGGTACTTTAGAAAACTGTAAATGACAAACGCCTCGTAGCACTCCCGAAGTGTGTCCATGTAGATTGAAATGGCAGGAAAGAACATTGCAAACCACTAAAAAAAGAGTTGTAAAAAGAGGTAATCAAAGTGTTTACATAAATCTTACTGAGTTGAGTGCATAGATCGGTACCATCCAAAGGATCCTCACAATGTACTTTTGCAAATAGGGCTTTGTGTAGTAGAGCAAGTGTTGGTACACTTCAAACATTGAGAAAAAGATGGCAATCAAGGCAAATATTCCCGCAATTATAGGCCAAGTTGGTGACACTTCGGGATTAGGTTCGATTGGACCCAGGAACAGGGACCCCTTGCCTGCATAAGCGGGAGAGGTCACTTGTGCAGCGCTAAAGTTCATCTTGCAAGTGACTTCAGCATTGGGTGCACGATCAAATAAAGTCCTTCAGCTACAGAAAAGTCGGACGGTCGCTGAGTATCAGTTGAGGAAGTGGTCTGGAAAAGTGTTTATGTTGATCAAGCCTTCTTGGCAAGAGGACTGTGGCAGAAAGAAGATGCGTAACTTTTGGGAGCAATAATCAGCAAGCCTAGTCGTTAGGCTGCTTCGATGTTGTGCAAGACTCTGTTTACAACTCAAAATTCCATGACCACAAACATCTGACCGGCAGATGACGCCACTGTCGCAATTAATGTCAAGTACTTTAAGTCAAGAATTCAAATTCTCTGTAATTTACTATACAGAGAATACGATAATTCTTCTCTTCCAGCTCATACTGTCTTGAGCAATCTTTCTCACACAAAACTTTGGCTTGGAGTTACGCAAACAGCCTGACACAAGTTTCAATCAACACTGAATTCAAAAGGGAAATTCGTCCCCGAGCAAATGAATCACACAAACCACAACTTGGACAAAAACAAATTTGACTTTATTCGTGAAGAAAAACCTGTTCATGTTTTTTTCAAATATTAAGTTTGAAATAAAGATTCTGCAAAGATAAAAGTGTGGATTAGTAAATAGTTGCGCTTTGTGAACTGCTTCCCAGCTTTGATTGTTACAATCGAGAAAAGGTGTCTCATCTACTCTAGAAGTTGCATTCACGGGTAATCAGAATGTGAACAGCAATGAAAGTTTTAATCATAGACAGGATCGTAAGAACACAAAGGGGAAGCAGCCAAGAGAAGAAGTTGAAACTCACTTTGCAGATTAGAAGCGAAGCTTGGTGAAGAACCACTTGTTCTTGCCAGACTTGTACCGGTCCTCAAACTTGGTTCGCACTTCCTGGCGGGCTTTTCTGCGGGCAACCACGTCCTTGGCGACCTCCTTCAGGTCAGCCTTTTCAAGCGCCATCTCAACGATGTAACTGTTTCGGTAGGGAATAACACAGTTTGACAATTAGTATCATGGTCAGTAAAACCGCCTTCGCCGTTAAACTTACCGGGTGGGCATCAGGTGATTGTAGTTGACCATCTTGAGGAAGGGCTTGATGCGGTTGCGTCGGGCGCGCTTCTTCTTGCCCATTCGCTTGTTGATCGGTCGCGGGTATCGGTCAATGCCGGCCACCAGCGCGTGTCCGTAGCTCTTCGCATTGGTGCCCTCGTCCTGGTTCTTCAGAATGACCGCCTTGCGACCGGCGTACTTGCCCTGCAGCAGCAAGACCACCTTGCCTGGTTTCATAATTTTGCCCATCGTGGAACCAAGAACGTTTGGAACGTCGAGCAAAGAGGATACACAAACAATCACGAGGAGCGGAAAGGAAAGAGAGAGCGAGAGGAACGATCCTTCTGCCGCATGCAGCGCAGCCAAACGAGAAACGTGGAGGAAGCTAAGAGGCAAGGGCTCTGCTTCGAGTGCTAGCTGCTGGTTGTGGGCGGAGCAATGAGCACTGCTGAAAGTGAGAACAGCGCAGTTGTTCTTTAACAAACTAGAGCCGCCCACAGCCAACAGAGAGCACCGTTTGCCTCACTTTTAAGAAAAAATAACTTTGGGTGGGGGAGTCCACGTAGTACGAGACAAATAGTGCGAATCGAGAATAAAATTCGCATCAAAGCTAAAACCGCGATGGCACCAGAATTGTCATCGATGCATCCGCATTAATTAATTTAAAATAAAGATTTTGTTACTCGTTTGAAATTGTCGCAAATGTGGTTTGACCAAAAGTTCGCTGAAATGGCCGGTTCTGGCGTCATCTGACGACGACTGACGAAAGGGAGCAATATTTTTGTTTACATCACTGAAACGGATCTTTCAGGTGATGTGTCTTTGAAACCCACTGGCGCTTCTGAAGCTTTGTGTCCACTTGCTCCAGTCGTCTTCGAATGGAGATCATCTTAGAGGGGCTTTTTTTATTTAGTAGAAGATGCTCCTCTACTTCACCTGCCACCAGGTAGTTGCACTGGTGGTCACACTTTTGATCTACCTGAATTGCCGGCTCTGCAGTGGAAATGCACTTCGAAGTTTATCTAGTCAAGAAAGGGCGGATTACAAGTAATATCAATCATCCGTGATACTTTTGCCTTCTCATACAATCTGACGATTACCACAGGGAGAAGATCAAATCGATGTTTTACCATGCCTATGACAGTTATCTGATATACGCCTCGGGTTTCGATGAGTTGCAGCCAATCAGCTGCACTGGCATGAACACTTGGGGCACCTTTTCACTATCACTTATTGACGCCCTGGACACGCTGGCCATCATGGGCAACTACACCGAGTTCCGACGAGTGGCCCAGCACATCATCGACAACGCCAACTTTGAAGCAAATACCAACGTGTCAGTTTTCGAGACAAACATTCGAGGTATGCTTTCACATTATTCATTTCTGTTGTTCAGTATTCTAAAACGCCTAGTGTTTGTTAGTTGTGGGCGGCCTTCTGTCTGCTCATCTACTTTCTGTTCAGGCTGGAATGACGGTGGATGAAGGCTGGCCATGTTCAGGCCCCCTGCTCCAGTTGGCTGACAATGTTGCCCGGAAGTTATTGCCAGGTCTGTTGCCTCTATTTATTTTTGCCACTTTTACAAATAATATTGTTCATTAGCTTTTGACACTGCCACCGGAATGCCTTATGGAACTGTCAACTTTCTCAATGGAGTGCCTGAAAATGAAACACCTGTTACGTGCACTGCCGGCGTAGGGACATTCCTGTTGGAGTTTGCCACACTAAGCCGCCTAACGGGAGATCCGATCTTTGAGGAGAAAGCGATTGCAGCGATTGAAGGGCTGCAAAAGCATCGCTCCAAAATTGGACTTCTCGGCAATCACATCAATGTGCAAGATGGCAAGTGGATCGCTACTGAAGCAGGCATTGGTGCCGGAGTTGATTCGTACTTTGAGTACTTGGTCAAAGGAAGTTTACTGCTGCAGATGCCCAGCTTGATGGAAGTCTTTTATTGTAAGCTATTTGGTGCTTCTTTTCAACTTTGCACTAATCTCAAACACATTACTTTTAGACGATTACGAGCTCATTAAGAATCATATAAAGAAGAACGATTGGTACGTTTGGGTGAGCATGAACACCGGCGCCGCTACAATGCCCATCTTTCAGTCACTGGAAGCTTTCTTTCCTGGTCTTCTGGTAAACATAATCAAGTTTAGCTTTATTACCTTATAAGCTTATAACCCCTTACTTGCACAGTCATTGGTTGGTGACATGGACCAGGCGAAAAAGTCCCTCTACAACTACCACCAAGTGTGGAAGCAATACGGCTTTGTTCCGGAGTTTTACGATATTGTCAATAACAAGCCGCACAAGCGCGATGGTTACCCTCTTCGGCCAGAGTTCATTGAATCGGTTCTTTACCTTTACCAAGCTACCAAAGACCCGCACTTATTGAGCATTGGCGCCGATGTTGCCGACTCGATTCTCCACTCGGCTCGCACAGAGTGCGGCTATGCGACAATCAAAAGTGTTCTGGACCACACAATAGAAGATCGTATGGAATCGTTCTTTCTTTCAGAGACGCTCAAATACCTGTATCTCCTTTTTGATGAAAACAACTTTATGCACAACAAAGGCCGCCAAGGGACTATTTGGAAGCGAAAAGACGAACTGGGAAATGAGGAGAGCTGCATCGTCGGAACTGGTGGCTATGTCTTCAACACTGAAGCGCATCCCATAGATATCGCAGCTTTGTCATGTTGTTCTTCGAAGAAAGACGAAAGAGATCGATTGAAAGCATTTGAAGGTGAAATCAATTTAATTGATAGCATTCTTCCTCTGAAAAAGCTGGCCAACTGTGATTTAGACATTCTCATGAAGCAGCCACTTTTTGTGGACGAACAAAAGGTAAGTTGTTTTCCCTTGCTTGTTCGAGTAATAATACTGATCCACTTTATACACGTAGGAGCCATCAAACATTACCGACTCAGCGACATTAAGTAGCGTGCATTCCACCTTTGAAGATACGATGGCGAGTTCCTCTGTTAGCTCAATAACAGAGAAACACACTGCTCTAAGCGATACGTTAAATCGACCATCAGCTGATCACAATGCTCAAAGTGACACTTTTTCTACTGAGCAGCTTCATCCCAGCTTCACTTCAATGGAAGTCCTGTCACTGACCAATTCTACTACTGTCCATTCTTCAAATATGACCGATCAAGTAACTCTTGATTTGGTCAGTCTCAAACCCACTTCGGTGAAGTCAACTGCCCCTTCCGCTGTTCAGGAAACTTCCATTGTTGCCGATGGCTTTGAGTTGCCTACCTTCGATGCAATTTATTCCAATAACTCCAGTGCTTTCGACCTGACGCAATACTACAGTGAGCTAAAACAACTTGCAGACAAGTTGGAACATCAAAATGATGATGAGGAGGAGGAGTTTGGCTTTCTAGCTAAAAACTCTGAAGAAAGAAATTATGAACTTCTTTTTTGCCCTTCACAGCCATTCCTTGCACGTCTCTCACTACAGGGGCAAATGTTTGAGCTCACTACTTAGTGCCTCACTCCTCTCACACACTAGGTTAGAGATGAAAATCTGTGATGTTACTTTCAGATAACTTTATTTTTATAAATATTTATTTACCGACATTTGCAATGTTATAAATTTGAAATGAATGCGTAATTTATTTGAACAAAAACTTTACAAAAAGTGTGCAAAAGTGGAAAGATATGAAAGAAATGTGAAGCGGTTTTATCTACTCAAAGAAGAATAGAGTAATGGCAAGTTCGGGTCACGGGGGCACTGGTCCGAAAGAGCATGAAAGAGTATTGAACACAAGTTTTGGGGCAAACAAAGGTGAAGGAGAAGGAAAATGAGCTAAATACTACAGCTATAAAATAAATGTGAAGAGGTGAATAGTCCAAAGTGGACTGGTGGTGGGTAGGGTATACAGTGGGTGCCATTATCAGAGAGAGAAGGGTGGTCCTGGTCCTGATGGTGCTCTCCAGTGCACATGAGCCGAAGGAAAAGGTGCTGCTGGTACAGTGGTAACTCAGAGGAGTGGCGCCTGCTCCGACAGCGTACTGGTGGCGGAGTGGTTGCTGCCCGCCGAGTTGTGTCTCGACTCCATGCTCGGCTCGTTCAGCGAGGTACTGGAGACCATGGTCAGCGTGGTCGGCGTCTCGCTGAGGTTCGTACTCTGAGCGCTGTCAAAGCTGTAGCACCGTGGCCGGAACAGCTGCCCATTGGCGGTGGTGGCGGTGGTGGCGGTGATGCAGGTGGAGGCGGTGCTCGCTGATCGACCGCTCGACCGACAGGCGCCGTGTCGATTGAAGCCGGCGGCGTGGCAGAGCACAGTGGAGGAGTTTCCGGAGGGACAGGAGGAGCTCGCTGAGGGCGGCAGCAGCGATCGGCAGAGGACGCCTGATCCGGGGAAGCACAGCGTCGGTATGGGCTGACAGGTCGACTGCTGACTGTGCTGGGGGAGAAAGGGCTGTCTGGTGTAGTCGGCCTGGTCCGAGTCCTGGTCCCCGTGCTGATGGGAGAACTTGCCCACCAAATCGAGACAGTGCTCGGAGATAAAGTTCCACACTGCAAAGCCCAGTGACCGTCGGTGCATGGTGCCACAGGAGTGATAGTGAGACTTGTTCCGAAACTCGCCCTGCAGTTTCCCTAACACACCGTACAGCTTCTCGACTATGGTGAAAAAGGTGGGACGGCTGTTGGGATTTTTGTGCCAGCAACTTTTGGCCACTTCCCATCTAATTGGTGGGGAAACGAAGGTCATATTAAATAGGCTCAATGCTATATCTCAGCCTGAACTGTACTTACAAGGCGGGTGTGTGGTAAGACGGTTTATTAAGTCGCACACAATCGACCAGCATTCCCTTCACCTCTTGGTCAGTTTTGCCCCTGTACGGCTGTTCGCCAAAAGTCATTATTTCCCAGAGAACTACGCCGTACGACCAGACATCTGTTTGCTGGGTGAAAACCATCTTGCGCACAGATTCAGGCGCCATCCACCGAAGGGGCATCAACGCCTGATCTGTCATTCTGTTTGAGGTCAAAGGGTAAGCAATGGAATAGCAATGAGTGAATGAATGGCAACAACATCAGAACAGCTCAGAAAACTGATCACCGACCGGTAGTAGTCACTGAGGTAGATGCCTCGTGTCATGCCAAAGTCGCCAATCTTCACTGTGAAGTCGGCGGCCACCATGCAGTTTCGTGCCGCCAGATCTCGGTGAATGATTCGCTTTGAGTGTAGGTAGAACATTCCATCGGCAATCTGAATGGCCATGCGAACGGACGTCTCCACGGTGGGCATCAGATCAAAGCTCGGCTGACAGGAATTTTGATAACTATGGAACTTTTGACGCAAGTACCGCTTCAGGTCTCCATGTTCCATGTACTCCATGACCACCAATATTGGCTCTTGCAGCGTGCACACACCAATCAACTTTACGAGGAAATTGCTGCTGAATGCCCTGCGATAAAGGTGTTTACTAAATTCGCCTTGAACACACAACCGCTTAGTCCTACTAACCGCATTAGTCCTGCTTCGGTAACAAAGCGCTCTCGGTCCATTTCCTTGGTGTTTTCCCGCAACATCTTAATAGCCACTCGAATGGCTCCCGTGTCACCGCCACCGTAGTTATCGGGAATGTTTGCCGCATTGGGAAAGAGCAATCCCTCGTAAACATTTCCGAATTCGCCTTTGCCAAGTAGTTTGTGATAAAGAATCTTTACGTTCAGGCGATCTATTTCATAGGAAGTTTCTTCCGTGGGCAACTCGCCCTCTGACATCTGGTCGCACGACCAAACACTGCTAATTGCCGTGTAGTCAGGATTACAGGAGACAACTTCTGCCTTGCTGAACCAAGAAGGCATTGAAATGCAGCTATGCTTGGCGCGAAGCACAATCATGAATGTCAGCAAGGAAAAGAGAAGAAAACCAAAAACGATTGCCAAAGTGGTAGAGTGCATTTTTAAAAAAGAAGTGCTTTTCTCCGGCAAGTAGTTGGCTTTCCCTAAAAGCGGGTTTGTTGGGGCAGCTTTTCTAGATCTATCAGGTCTAAGTTTTCCATTCGCCCCAACCATACCTTCAACAGAATGAGTACATTTAGTTAGCTCTACACTACACTGAAAAAACAAAACTTACTTTTCTTCAAATGCAGTTTTCGAAACTGCGAAATAGAGCACTCGTGCAGCGTTGGACCAAAGCAGAGGAGCACTTTGATGATGTACAGGTGGTCGAATTTGAATGGGTACTGCTCATCCATCTCCGCAATATTATACTGAGGACTGGCAATGAGTGAGTGGTAAATGTGTCGAATGTCGTAGTGCGCATTGGCAATGTCAAACTGAGGCTTGAGCTCTTTCAGCTTGATCGGCGGGTCGGTGATGCACAGTGCAGACAAGTTCACCATTCCCAGTGGAGCTGTGGTTTCCAGATGCTGCTTCATGTGGTCCACCAGGAAGGTGTTTACGTGATCAGAGGTGACAAGGTCAGCAAACTCAAAGGCAATCTCTATTCGATCAAGTTGAGTGCAGTTTGGTGGGTGCTGCTCTTCGCCGGTAATGAAGCGGTACATAGTAGGGTCAATGTCAAAAATTGAAAACCGAGCATTTTTGAAACGACTCAGTTCAGGTCTCTTATCATCAGGCATATCATAGGGAATGCTGAGACGTGCGTCAATGTGATCTATGTCAACCAGTGGATTCAGAAGATTTTCGGTTATATTTAGATCAACAAAAGTGCTATCAAAGTGTTCTTTCTTGTTAGCTTGAGATATTAAACGCCAGTAAAGGTTAGAGTGGCGAAAGCACACCAATGGCGAGTGCTGAATCCACACTGGGCCGCATACTTCCGCCAAACTGTTCAGCTCAATTTTGTCGTCGGCAAAAAACTTTGAAATGTACACCGAGTGGTTCATAAAGCGCTGCTTTCCGGCAATCAAATGAAGCTTTGGGAAGATGGTGTTCAGTGAAATAGTGTCTCTGACAGGGTTGATGTTGTACAGCAGCAAAAACTGGGTGATGATTTCCAGATTAGGGAATTGCACATTAGGCACCGAGTTGTTTTCAATTGGTCCCAGTTTCCAGTGACGAATAGAGACAAAGCCGTTAATAACTCGACAGTGTGAGTAGTTACTGTTCAGCTCAACTGTTTCAGCTAGATTTACAGTGTCACAAACTAGCAACACAAAAGAGGCAAATACAAATTTAGTTGCAAAATTTGTTTCACTGGCCTGTAGCGACTAGGCCCAACGATCCTCTACAGGCCATTAAAATGCCAAAAACTAAACAGACAGTAACGAGAAAACTTACTTTCATTTTCCTTGAACTGTGCCAAATACGTTGGCAACTGGTCAGCAAGAGGACATGGTTGATAGCTGTTGGAAGGAGGCAAAACCGAACACAGCTGAGAGGGAGCAAACACTACGACCATCAAAAGAAAGGCGGCAAAATGTTGAACACTGGTGCTCCAAGCTGAACTCATTGCGCGCCTCAACGACGCAGTGTGACGACAGTGCGAGGTAATCATCTTGGTCATCATGTCTTGGTTTGCGGTGTTCTGCTCACGTGTGGACGCTCTACAGTACTGGTGGACAGTGGTGATCGCCACTATCTGGCAACATTCTCCGGCCTGTCAGGGAGAGAGAGAGAGAGACAGAGAAGAAGAAGATTAAGAAGGCAAAGAAGAGGACAGCGGAGATGTGCCATTCGGGCGAGTGATCAACGGGGAGAGGCGGTGTGCACTGTGACTTGGTGCATTGACTGGGGCAGCAGCAGACACTGCAAAAGACAACGTCGTGAGTGCGAGACAACAAACAAGACGTTCTCAAGACTCGGACAGTCCAGGGACGGGAAGAAATATGGCCTAGACTAGTGATTGCATTGATGCCTCGAACCTGGCGGCGATGACTGCCTCCAGGCGCTCCCTTTCACTTGGTTCAGGTGTCTCGCTCGCTACATGTCTTCGGAACACATGCCGTGCGCGCCAAACGACAGATGTGCCAATGAGGCGAAAGTGAGAATGACACGAAGTGAGAGGGGTACTGCTTAAACTTGGACAGCAGAGAAAGGGAAAGGAAGAGTGAGAGAGAGCAAGGCAATAAATTACTGACTGGTTACTGACATGAAGTAAACGAACTGAGCTGCTCCTACATCACCACTTTGTTAATTTAAAGCGCAGTACTTTACCAGAGCACTGATAAAAATGAAGTTCAGATAATGTTTTTTTCTCTCTCATGAACTTTGCAATTTATGAAACATTTAATATTGTATCAATAAATGTCAGATTTCTAATTATGATGTGTATTTACTGACTCTAACAATAGTAGAATTATTAAAATATTATGCCTGCATGAAGTAGGCCACATGATGTCGGAGTGGGAGGCCAGTTACTCAGTGAACACCATTTCCATGAATGCTCTACTTTTAAAGGCAAATACGTTGCTTGTCTAGACTGCTACCTCCGTACGCTTCTCTGACAAACAAAATGGTGGATTCGGATAAGATGACCCAAGGTGTTAAGATGACCACTAACTAAACCAATCTACACTTTGGATGTTACTTTAGCTGAATGAAAAAGTGATCATTGTAGAATGCGTAAGTAGTGACTGAACTGAGCACCGCTGTAAGAGTACCCTGGAAGTGAAAGATGGCCCTACATTGAAGGGTCGGTTGTTGAGGCATTTCGCTCGTAAATTGTAAATAGACTGCAGGCTACAGCGATGGAGACACTGTCTCGAGTGGAGTGCGCAAGCAACGCACATTGATCACTGTGAAAGATGTAACGAAACCAGACAAGTGGGATTAACGAAGGGGTTATTGGGCTAATGGAAATGCGAAAAGTCAGACGATTGGGAAAGCAGGCGACAAGTGTCCTCCATCACTTAAGGTTTTAAAATGAAAGCGAGAGTGCATGAGAACAGGAGAAGAGTGAATAACTATATAAAATAGTGATGCGTACAGAAAAAGTGCAACTTGAAGTTGTGGAAGAAGGAAAAAGTAGAGGGTAATGCAAAAGTTAGAATTATGGTTGTTTGTGAAAGCAGTGAAATGTTAAGTGATAGTAGTTGCTTTGTAGACTGAGCTCTGGTCAACATGGTCGTCTCTCGACACCACATGAAAGACGCTGTTCTGATGTTACACAGATGGTTTGCTGAGATTAGAAAGAAAGTGATATCAGAGAAAACGTGGTCGAGCGGTGGTGGTCATGGTCAGGGGAACGAAAGAAAATATAACAAAACGATAAAAAGAATGTGTCTTGAACACGCAAACGATTGACAGTGGCAGCCACACACAGCACAAAACGAAGAGGAAGAAGACAGCAGCAGTAGAAGAAGCACTAGCGATACGAAAAGACGAGTGGGAATGGGTCGAATGGGATACAGTCAAGGCAACGACAGGAAAGTCACTGAAACGGGCTTAGGAAGAAACTGGGAAAGAGAGAGGGAGAGAGAGAGGGAGGGAGTAATGGGATGGTGGTGAGTCGCAGCAGCTGCAAGCAATGTCGGTGACGCCAATGAGGAAGTGCGGCAAAGGCGGCACTGCATGCGAAGCCCCAGAGAATGAGCACTGGAGACAGTGAAAGGTAGCCTTCTCGGGACAAGGAAACTGAGCTGTTCTGGCTCTGTCAGTGGAAAGTTGCCAGAGGAAGCCAAAGTGATGCAAAGTGTTGTTGCTTTTGGAACAGGCACAGGCACTGGTTGCTGTTGTCAATCGGTGAGGTGCGCCTGTGTGTGTGCGCCTACGTGTGTGCATCATCATCGCCATCAGTGTGGTCGCAGAGACAGTGCAACCGAACAGAGACAGAGTGCTGGTACATTCAAACCAGCGCTGAGAATAGTAAAAAAGCAAGGCTGCTCCACGACTGCACGTCCTCGATTTGCCTCTCAATTAGTCGCCACCGCAACAACATGAAGTGCTGTTACCATCATACATGACACCCCGCTAAAAAAAGCCAACAGCTCCTGGGACTGACAAAACAGGTAAGTTCGATGCTATGTTACTTTTTAATATTAAAATGATCTACCTAAAAATGAAAACAGGCAGAATGTTTCTAACTTTTCAGCTAGTTTGAACTTGAAATTTTAACCGATAAAAACAATGTAAACGATTGGTCAACTACAAAAAAGGGGTGCAAAAAGAAACGAGCATACCTAAGTAGCAGCGGCGATTTTCTAATTAGCAGTTTGAAGGGAAACATGAACAAGGCAGCAGAAGCAGCACAAAGGCAACAGCTCAGTGAGAAGTTTCGAACAGAGATTGGCAGAAAAGCAGTTCAGACGAATCTGCGACGTGCGTCCTTGGCGCTTCTGTGGCTGACACTGCATGATGATGATGACTGTGGAGGAGACGTGTGCACATCGATGGGACGAGTTAGCCAACCGACGGCGGATGTTTTCCACTCGCCTTTTTTGCTTGTGTCGAGCTGTTGAGCTCCCGTCGAACAGCAGAGACTAGTCGCCTCTTCAGGCACTTTTACTGTGTTGCACTGACTCCGAGCGCTCTCACTTTCGGCCCTATACACTCTAATGAAACCCTTCAAGAGAAGCAGCACCACCGAAACTGCAGACTGAGGAAGGGAACACTGACACTGATAGCAAGCAATGGGATTCAATGCAATTCACAAGTGCCAATTGTCATAGCTGCAAACAAACTGCAGAGAGTTTTAGAAAAAAAACTTCGCAAAGTTAGCTTGTGAGGCAAAGTATGCATCGACGGGCGAGTTGTGTCTAGTGACAGTTGTCGAATCAAATCGAATGGAAACGGTGACAAAACATAAACAAAGTACACCGAAGGACTGGTAGCGGCAAATGGCAGCCAAAGACTATCACACAAGCAGCCATCAGCAGCTGAGCTTGGCAATGGGAACTGCACTCATGTCTGTGTTATTGGGCCAGTTGGACGGACAGACTTTGAACGGTGCTCAGTTGCAATTTAAGCCAATAAGAGAGATGGCCAATCGGTGAGTTATGAGTTGAGTTATCTGTTATGGGTTGCATGTTATCTAGTTACACTTGATACGACCACAAACACAACAATTGCAATAACTTGTCAGCAGTTCAACTTACCCGGTAGATGTTAGGTGGTGCTTGTTGCCTGGCGGTAGAAGAACCCCTTTCAATGAGCAAATGCTTCCTTGACATCCCTTACACCGCAGTAAACTCCGCTCTTAAATTAAAAATAAATTGACTGTGCAAATGTGACAGTTCATTGACCCGACTTCAAAGTGAGAGGTTAAAGTGAAACATACAATTGTCAACAATTTTTCCAAACTCGGTTTTTAAAAATTTCAGCATAAAAGGAATGTCTGGTTTGTGATCACTTCAACTGGTGTTTAAATTCAATAGATAAAATTTAAAAACACTACTTTAAGCATTCATACATTTTAAAAACTTTAAATAAATAATAAAAATAAATATTTACAATATGCAACATATCTGCTGATTTTTGCAACTACTGAGATAAGAAAAAATGAAAATGTTGCTGAAAAAGCAATAATAAAGTGATGATAAGTATGTTAGAATATCTGTTTGGCTATAACGTGACTGATATTACTGCCAAAAGTGGTAAAAATCGATAAACTCACTTTGATGTTTATCCTTATAAGCATACCAGTCATGAATCAAGCATATGAAACGATTCTGGAAACAAGTGCACAACCATTTAGTTTCCCTGAACCACTCTTCACACATCAATCCATCTGTTCGCTCAAATATTCAAATGGCTCATTTCCATTGCAAGTTCTTAATTAGCCGATTTGGCTGTTCAACTGCTAGAAAATCATCACAAGTGGCCCATTTTTAATGGCAATTTCCTACAAGTACATTCAAATAATGGAAATGTAGTGCAAAGCAAACGTGCGTGAAACTAAGCATTAATATAGAAAAACAAACTTGGCAAAAACATGTTAACCCAAAAACAACATCAAAGAATGGCTAATCTTAATTTAGCAAACTAGTTGCATTTTTTCAGAGCGGACAGTATATGAAAAAACTCAGAATATAAACTTCAAACAATATTGCAGAACACTTACCATTTTAAAGGATAAACGGATTAAAATTCACACTAAACAGGTTGATGGGAACTGAAGGATGGTGTTGATCACATGAAAACAGGACATCATTTGAGAATGCTAATGAGGGAAAATCAGACACAATCACGAGTGTTGTTTTCAAGTTTTAAAATTTAAAAATAACAAATAAACTTGTTTTTACAGCAAATATTTGCATGATCTGACGTCAACTGATTCGTATATTAGTCAAAGTTCAGCTTGAACGAAAGTGACACAGTAGCCTTGATGCTCTCAGGAGACTAGTGCGATTGGAGCTCCACTATCACCAGACATATGAAACAGCCCATTCTCTCAGGAAGAAACTGCATGATAAGACAATGACATTGACCAGATGGCAGTAAACAAGGAGAATGGCGCTGGGATTTTGTAATGAGTTAGCTCAGTGAAAAGTCGTAAAAAATCAGCAAGATATAAACTCAAGTGCAAAGCAGCACTTTTGCTTGGTCACAACGACACGAACAGTTGTCACTGCTGCTATGGCAGCATGAACCGCAAGGTAGTTTTCCTCTATGCACCAAAAGCACCATTTCCATTTCAATTAAATTGCTGTGCCGTAAAAACAACCCGATTCTGTGTTATTGATTTTGCTGCACAATTTTTAAATTCTGAAAAATAAACTGTTTTCTGTTTATTTCTAAATTCATAAAAAACATTTTACAGCATGATAAACGATAATTTCAAAACGTCAAACCGTGTAAAGACAAGTAATTAATTTAAGTTACTCTCAATAAATTGGTAGTAGCATGGAAAAAACACTTTATAGATCTTTATATTGAGGTTGGCTTAAAAAATATTCAGGTTCACATTTGAAAACTAAAATTTCAATGACTTATGAAAGTGCTAACTTACATTTTTAGTTCATTAGTTTTACAAAAAGCACTGATGTTTAGCAAGAGTGAAGGCTTGTCAATAAAGAAAAACTTTAATTGCAAAATATAGTTTTAAGGCAAAGAATTATAAATAACAAACAACAACAAGTTGAACGTGTCTAAATTCAAGTGCACGCAATTCTTAAAAATTACAAAAAAACTTTGTGCTGAATCGTAAACACATGAAAAGCCCAGGCAATCAGAAAGAGGGCTTTAAAAAAGAGGAACAACAAACAATGTAGCATGCAGTAGTAATATAATAAGCGTAAAAATAAAAATAATAAATATATAGGTATTAATCTCAAAATTGAAGACCAAGTTTGCGAATAAGAAGGTTGAAAATAGGTTCAGTCGTCATCACTATCACTACCAGATTCACTGAGTTGCAAGTCTTGACCTGTTTAAAAGAAAAGAAAAGTTGAATTTTAAAAAAGTGCTCAAAAGGTGTATAGTTTGGGAGCATACTTAATTGACTGTAAGTGACTTTGGGAATTGGAGGAAAGGTGGAAGGTGCGCTAGGAGCAGAGCCATTATTGAGAAACTTGGGCATAGAGTCGAATGGTGAACACTTTGATGTCGACTCTAGTGGCGATCCACTTTTGGGCAAAGTTTTCCTCTGCTGCTGATCGCTTCCGTTTAGTTGAGTCGGCCCGGGACGTGTCATTTCAGCCTCATCATCTGACGAGTCATCCGAGTCTTCAGAAAGCGACAAGGAAAGAGCCGACGCCTCTGGAGCTTTTCTACTCAATTCAGAGATGGGAGATTTGGCATGGTTGGAAGAAGACGAGTGCAATTGCATGTTCGGAGAAGTCGAGTCCAGTGAGGCAGAAGGAAGTGCCAATGCAGTTGGCATGGATATGCTCGGCAAGATAGAGGGCATAGAGAGTGCATTAGTAGTGCCCCCGTTAACCGCCTGCTTCGAAGTGGAAAGCTCTGTGCTCATGGAAACTGGCCGCATTTCCTCGTCATCACTGCTGCTATCACTGCTTTGACTACTCGAATCGCTCTCATCGTCAGAATTAGCATCCGAATCACTGGACGAGTCCTCCGAGAGATTTCGATTGGACGATGAATGCTTTGCTCCGCTTTTATGACTTAATTTAGCAACTGATGATGCCTGTTGCTCTTTGGACTTGCCGCTGCTACCATTCCAGTCCTGACTACTGTCCGATGATCTGCCACTGGTCGCTGGAGTTCCATTGGTGTGCAGAAGGGAACCCTTATTGACAGAGAATATTGGCATCGAAGGAGGGCTGGGCGTTTTCTGTCTAAAACCGTTCGCCCTAGGTGCAGTCAGTCCAGTACTGGTAGACGGTAGAGGTGGCGAGGTTTTGTTGGACAACTTTGAAGCAGTAGCACTGCCCACTGTAGGCATGTTCAGACCCGAAGTTGTTGATTTGAGCGTTGATGACTTGGCCTTTTAGAAAAAAAAATTTAAATTTAGTAGCGCATCTTTGTTAAAAAAATTAACTTTTACTTTATCATTGTGAGTTGAGCTTTTGGCCTGACTGGAAGAGGGTCCTGAAGATGATGAGCCATTGGACAAAGTGGGTTTCTGGTTATTAGAGACAGTGTTCAGTGGTTTGCCGGAAGAGTCGTCCTGCCGTAAACGGGCTTTCTTAACAATCATCGAAGTGTTTAGCTTCTCAAGAACAAATTCCCCTGTGTCCGGATTAAAGATGAGCACACACTCCTTCTGATGAGGCTTTCGCATGCCCTGGTACACTGATTCCCGACCTGTGCCCGACCCCTCGAGGTTGGGCATAGTCACCGTCACCTTTCCATTGCTTCCAAAGTCGACAATGGAAGTTTTGTTGGGGTCAACTGAGGCAGGCACAAAGTCATCTGTGCAAAGAAAATTGAAACCAGTGATTAGTAGTGGGGCAGAAAGGGTGAATGCCAATAAAAAGCGTGGGGATATGCAATATTTAAAATTTGTTGTGCAACCACAAAATCACTTCTTTGGATTTGTACTTACATCGAATTGTGTGAAAACACAAGTCCGAGTCATTAAAAAATGACTGCCCAATCCTGAGTTCACGCGATTCTGAACCGAATTTGTGCGCAAAATCTGCAAGTGCACTCATAGTAAAGCCCACTTTCGCGGGGCTTGAGAATGATGGTGTAAAAAGAGAGTGAGAAGAGGGAATGAAAAGTTGGTGAATTGTTGAATGCAGTGCTGAACAAAACAAGTGGTTTGAGATAGTGTGTCACTTCAAGTAGGTCACCAAAGTCGATTGAAATATAAAAAGGCACACAGTCAGTCAATGTGGTGAGAAAGTTGTCCGTCGTGTGCTGCGTAGCACAAGACGTTAGGACTTGCGTAATGAAAGGAAAAAGACGGAAGTACAAAATCAACAACAACAACAAGACTACACATCCAGACTAATAGCTAAGGCAACGCCAACGTCAAGAACACTTTGACGAGCACTTACTTACCACTGTTTCCTCTAGCAGCTGGTGCGTATGTTGACGATGAGCATGGATGCCAGTAGAGCGCCCCAGCCATCTAGTTTCACCTGGAAGGGGCGGAGTCTACGCCTAACTGCTGTTGTTTTAATCAGCTGCCGGGTGCGTGCTGTTGTGAAGAGGCCACGCCTTTTACCCTCACATGCCAGCTGGCGCGGGCGGTCTGAATTTACCTCAGAAAACAGTTTTTGCGCCGCCTGTTGGAAGTACTTTTAATCCGTCTCACGTGCATCAGTAAAACACGTGCCCATTCTGAGCACATGTGATTGTTTTCATCTGCGAGAATTCTGTTTGATAACTTGCTTTTTGATAAGCTTTGATCCCTTTTTTTGCCCACGATGAACGACACCCTTTTGCTGGGTAATATAAACACCGGCAAAAAACAAGCAAACAACAAGCCAAAAACTCAAGCCAAAGCTCCTTCTACAAAGCGAGTGAAACAGCCGAATTTGTTTGAAAATGGCGCTGCCAGACATCTGAACTTGGGTACCTCCAGAGAAGCAGCAGTTAAAAGGCAGTTCAGCCCCAACGGGACTAGTAATGGTTTTAAAATTTTGCCTGTGAAGCACAGTGGGTTCTCCAGAATACCCAAACCGCCGCCACCGCCTAGTAGCTCGCACCGTGGTAATAATGACAACCAAAACAAATCATCGGCGAATCATCAGTTTATTAAACCTTCGAATCATGAAAAAGACGTTCGTCCAAAACATTTTAACACCTCCGGGTTTAAAACTTCAAAGCTATTTGATAGCGACACTTTTAAAGAAATCAATGAAATTGAAAAGTAAGTTTTTTTTGCGTTTAAAGCAGTTGCTTATAAAGTGTTTTTTTTTACAGATTAGAAGTTACCACAAAAAAAGAGGAACTCTTTTCTGCTTCGAGCTTTGCCGATCTTCAATGCGACCCTCTTCTGGTAGCATGTCTCAAGCAGCGTTTCTCACTGGAGACTGCCACCAAAGTACAGTCGCTTTCCATTCCTGCCTTGATATCAGGCAAAGATGCACTCATCAAGTCAGCCACGGGTTCGGGAAAAACACTCGCCTACTCAATACCACTGGTACAACGGCTGCAGGTAGTGGAGCCCAAGATTACTCGAACTAGTGGTCTTTATGCCTTGGTCATTGTGCCCACTCGAGAGCTTGCCCTGCAGACGTACGACTGCTTGAATGAACTGCTCAATCCATTTCGACGAATTGTGCTTGGACTTTTAGTCGGTGGTGAGAAGAAAAAGTCCGAAAAGGCTCGCATTCGTAAGGGACTAAACATTCTGGTAGCCACCCCTGGCCGTATGCTAGATCACCTTGGGCACACAAACAACTTGCGACTAGAGAAGCTGCAGTATCTAGTAATCGACGAAGCTGATCGTCTTTATGAACAGGGATTTTCTGCCATAATTGGCCAAATTATGGAGTTTATTCAGAAGCGATTCACCGATCAGACTGTGCAAACTGTTCTGCTGTCTGCCACTCTGTCTAAGGTACCTAATATCGGATGCTTTGCTTAAGGGGGGATNAGACTGTGCAAACTGTTCTGCTGTCTGCCACTCTGTCTAAGGTACCTAATATCGGATGCTTTGCTTTAAACACTAAATACTTTACACTTAATATTTGCAGGGCGTTAAAGAATTGGCCGGTCTTAGCTTGAAGACACCGGAAATAA